ATATATATATATATATATATATATATATATATATATATAAGTGTTTTAAACCCTTCCCACACTCTTGCAATATTCTAAACAATGTTTCTAAACTCTAAAGCTCTAAAAGAGCAAAGACTGTCACGATTTCCATCTCTCTGCCTCATCTGCTCTTTGCCACTTGCAAGCGCTTTTAGCCACGCCCACTTCTCCGCGCTGCAGCTCTGGGCTGCACAAATATGCAGCAGGTGGTAAATAATTTAAAATAATTTATTTTAAATAAAAATTCCATGCTGATCGTGCGGCTCATCCATCAATCAGCCACTTGTGTGCCATGTCCAGTCTTATTTTGAAAAACCATGATAGAGCGAGTCCGTGATAAACGAACCTCAAAGTAGCAAGGGACTAATGTATTCCTTGAAGAACCACATATCACAAGGAGTGGGTGGGTGTTCACAGGTGAATGAGCTAAAGAAAGAGACAGTTCTGGGGAAACAGAGGTTCCCTAGCCTGCTGGTTTTGGTCCAGAGGTCCAGAAGTGCCTGCCGGAGGGCAAGTGAGCATATAGTTTATGGGTGAAAGGAATACTTGAGAATGCTGCAAGCTCGGTGCAGACAGTGTTTCCTCTGGATGTTTACAATGAGTGAAAGTGGAAACCCTATGATGTGATAGTGCAGTTCCCATACCATACAGTGACAATATTCGTCAGTATACTCTATCACATGGCAACAAATGTTCACCAGGACAGTGGTGTTTCTTCAGTGTCCTCAGAAAGAAAAGACATTGGCAAGCCTTCTTGACAAGGCTGGAGGTGTTTGTGATCCAGTACAGGTCCTCTGAGATGTGGATACCAAAGAACTCAAAGCTGGAGACACGTGCAACAACCATACTGTTAACTTAGGATCATGCATGCCTCCTTACACCCTCCTGAAATCCACAATGAGCTCCTTTGTTTTCCTGGTGTTAAGGAGCAGATTGTTGTCAGCGCACCATGCAACCAGGTGCTGTACCTCCTCTTTGAAGGCCATCTCATTGTTGATGATGAGGCCAACCACTGCAGTGTCATCAGCAAACTTGATGATGGAACTGAATCCGTGCATAGGCCTGCAGTTGTAGGCGAAGAGGGAGTAGAGAAATGGGCTCAGCACACAGCCCTGTGGTACATCTTTGTTTAGGGTGATGGTTGTGGAGTAGGTATGGCCTTACTTAACATCCTGAGGTCTGTTGGTTAGAAATCCATGATCAAGTGACAAAGGGAGGTGTTAATGCCCAGATCTCTAAGTTTAGAGACCAGCCTGACAGGTTTAATAGTATTAAATGCTGAGATGAAAACAAACAGCATATGTGCATATGCATTGTTATTGACCAGTACAAAGTGCAGCGCTATGGAGTCTGAATTCTCTGCACTTCTATTACAGTGACAGGCAAACTGATATGGCTCCTGAGTGTGTGGTAGGCCGTTATTCAGGTGTACCAGGATCAGTCGCTCAAAACACTTCATAACAACGGGTGTGGGTGCTATAAGGTGGTAATCGTTCAGGCATGTTTGGCTCGAGTGTTTTAGCATTGGTACAACGGAGGTGGTTTTAAAGTATTTCAATGCAGTTAGAGTGAGAGACAGATTGAAGATATTTGTAAAGACTCCAACGAGCTTCCCCACACATGCTCTGAGTACGTGCCTAGGGATGCCATCAGGTCCAGCAGCCTTACATGCATTGATCTGAGTTATAGCCTTTTTGTGTTAGCTAACATTGATTAATTTTTGCAGCCATTCTGAATTGCGTTGACTCGAAACTTTTATCAGTTATAGATTTACATGTATTGATTACTTTCTGAGTGTTTCATTAAAGTCTGACAAGTGGTTCTCGAGATACAGTATTTTGCTAACAAACAACCAGGGTTTAAGGTTCAAGGAACTTTATTGTCATTCGCATCACATTACGTGTCTATCTCTGCTGTCATTCGTGGATGTCTGTCCAAACAGGTCTCACTTGTAAATGAGTCTTCAAGACTCAAAGTGACTCATCTGTTTAAATAAAGGTTGAATGAATTAACATCAGATGTTCATGGATGAGACATATCTAGTTACCCAGGTCCCAGTTTACTCAAACAGTTGATGCTAAAGTTTGAACCAAACGTCTTGTAGAATGTCTAGCACATACAGCTGGTGTTGCTAATGACTCTCAGCTACAACCACATGATATTTTAGCTTAATGTCTGTAAAAATGATTGACTTGTTGCCATTTTTGTGTTTTCTAATGTCACTTGGCTGTGGTGGCCATCTTGAACCAGGATGATTCCAAACACTAATTGTTGTAGATGTACATCCAATGATTATTTACTGAAGGTTTCATTACAATTTATGTGGTGGTTCATGAGATAATTTGGTGAGAAACATACAAACACACAAAGATAAAATAAATTAATATAATGATGACTAAATAATAAACTTAAAATAGAAAATAATGTTTTACCAAGAATAGCGTGCAAATGGCATCTTAATAGCTACAGTTAGTGAAAATAAATGATGGGTGCTCTCTTTTTTTATAGTGCCAACTTTTCCCTCCATTTGTCAATTATTTAGCCTGGTGTGATGGCAAACTATGAGCTACCACACAAAAAAAAAAAAACATTTCCTTTGTGCTAATGTAAATTAGCACAACACAAATTGAGCTATATTTGTGGTAAGTGGTACAACTTGGTAAAGTGCAGCTTCTCAGTTGGAGATTTCTTTTGTGCTCATTTTGTGTTATTTATAGGTGTGCAAGACCCTCAGCTTGATTAGCAAATAAAATGGGATTTTTATTTTAATTTGAACTACAAGGACAATATGAAGAATCCTTTTAAAGACCAACTTTTGTCTGAATATTACCGCTTAAATTTAATGCCAGTTGACTGCCAACAACTATTTGCCTCATTCGCATAAACTAATGACAGCGTTGGACTCTTACCACAATGAGCAAATCGGAGAGACAGCACACAGCTTTCATGCAGGTGGAGCTGGTACTTGTCAGGTTTGGTGACATGCAGAACCTCCACGTTACTGTTCTCCATCCCCACCGCCAGCCACTCACCCGTTGGGCAATAACCCAGGGAGAAGATCTACAACCAAACCAAACCAAGCACTTACAATACATGATTCAAGGTGAACAATTTTCACAAGGCAAAGCTAAAAAAAATGTACACATAATAGCATGAAAAACTCAATAAGCCCAGTGTTATTTATTATAATAGAGAAATAGCTGGTGGAAATTTTGGTAAAGCTGAAAAGATGAAGGTATAAGTTTATCAGCCATATTGTTCCCTGTCTGCCCTGCCCTCGCTGAAATCTTTTTAATGCGCACTCACATGCACACACTCAGGGTCCTGAAATGGCTCTGTTCAGGAAAATTGCAGTAATGGTCTATTATTGCTGCTTTTCTTCTAAGCTGGAAAAAACAACCCTAAATTCAAACTGCAAGTATTATTAGTGTTAAAAGTGTTTGAGGGCAGGACAAAAACAGTCTGGCCTTTAGTGTGGGTTAAATGCTCTGAACCGAGCTTGGAAATTACTGCAATAAATCAAAGGCTGAGACAGTAATCACACAAACTGCAGTTTGCAGTGACTTGTCCTGCACAATTTTTACTAGCCTGCAACATTTTAACCTAAACTTTACCACCAGCTAAAAGTAAAGTGCCTCTATTCCAAAACCAAAGCCTCTACATGTAGCGTACAATCTGAGACTGAACAAACCCCACACTGCTACAAGAAATATTTATATATATACATTTTATGAATTGGTTTAGGGTATAAAGTTAAAAAGAAATACTGTGAATTGGTAACTTGGTAAATAAATAGCATTTTGCCATGTATTTTGCTTAGTTTGTTATGTACCTGGGAGGTAAAATCATGCTGTTGCAGCTGTCTTCCCTCTCTCAGATCCCAGGAGCGGACAGTGTTATCCAGGCCTCCAGTCCACAGCTTGGTTCCATCATTGGAGATGTCTATACAGCTGGCCCCGTCGGTGTGGCCCTGGAACTGCCTGTAGAAAAACAAGAAATCTGCCCTGAATAAGAGTGTTCGGCAAAAATCAAAGAGTGACTATACAGTGCTTATAAAAAATATTCAACCCATTGGATGTTTTACCCGTTTTTTACTGTTAAAAATCAATAACAAGTGAAGGAAGAATGACATCAAGATCAACAGACAGATGGGTGCAGCTTCCACAGTATTGTGGACTCTGTGCCAGTACGTTGTGGTGAAAAGGGAGCCAAGCTTCAAGGCAAAGTCCTCTGTTTATCAGTTGATCTAAAGTCCCACCCTCAACCATGGTCACAAACTCTGGGTAGAAACTCACAAACTCACTGAAAGAACGACATTGCACATACAGGCGGTCAAATTGAATTTTCTCCGTAGGGTAGCTGGACTCTCCCTTAGAAATCGGGTTAGAAGTTCAGTCATTCAGGACAAACTCGGAGTAGAGCCATTGTTCCTCCACATCAAGAGGAGCCAGTTTAAGTGATTTGGGCATTTGGTAAGGATGCCCTGTAGATGCCTCTCAAGGGAAGTTTTTTAGGGCATATCAAACTAAGAGGAGACATCAGGGAAAACCCAAGACATGCTGGAGAGACTTTGTCTCTCTCCTGGCCTGGGAATGCCTTGAAGTCATCGGGAGATCTGTTAAATCCATCGTCAAGAAATGGGACAAATAAGGGACATGTAAATCTATCAAGAGCAGGCAATCCTGAAAAACTGTGATTGTGCAAGAAGTAGAATAATGAGAGTTGCCCCTGAGCCACCTGTGATAAAGGAGTTACAAGCTTCAGCAGATGAGATGGTAGAGACTGAATACAACTATAGGTTCTTCACCAGTCTAAGATATAAAACAGAGGCAAAGAAAAACCCACTGTTGAAGAAAACATTAAATTTGGACTAGACATTTGTCACTTGGCATGTGAAAGACTCTTACGGTCGTGTGCTTCTCGACAGCCAAACCTGGACGGCTTGCAAAAATAAAGAGTAAAATAAATGCTGTAAAATATTGGTAAATGTGTCATCTTGAATTGAGTTGAGTTCAAAAGGTAACCATCTGTAGATGTCCAAACCAATGATTACGGTACTTTCTAGAAGTTTCATTAAAATCAATTCAGTGGTTTATAAATAGTTTGGTAATGGTACAGACAAAGGAACAAGCATGCACACTCACAAAGATAAGAACACTCTGCCTTTGCCTTCAGGTGATAAATCTGATCATTTCCCCCAGAAATCTGCAGCCGCTCACCTGACCAACGTCTGGTTGTGAAGATCCCAGACAGCTATGTTTCCATCAGAGCAGCAGGAAAAGCAAACTTTGGAATCAGGGCTGATGGCCAGAGCATAACACGCTGGCGCTGATGAAGTAAGTTCTGCTTTGATCCGAGGAGTTGGTGTCGCCAAATCCCAAATTGACAAGGTGCTCGCCTCGCCACCAACAATGAGCGTTCGACCATCCGGGAGCAGCCGACATGAACGAATGTAGTTATCCCTGTTCTGATGTGACAGGTAAGACACAGCTGCTAGAAAGATTTGCTTTAAAAAAAAAAAGACTAATCCACATCTAGCTTGCACTTACAAGGCAGTCCAGTTGGGAAACAGGGGTTTTGTTGCCTGGGTGACTGATGTCCCACACCTTCACACAGCCTTTGCCCCCAGTGTAAACATGACGAGTCGGGTTACTGATGGTAACGGCGCACACCACCTCTCCGTGGCTCAGAGTATTGATCTGTCGAGCATGGCGTGGGATGCCAGGGCCGATCAATGCATCAGGAGGAAAAGGCACAGGTTGCATTTGTCCATCAGCGCTCACATGAAAGGAGTAAGCTCTGAATAAACAAAGAGTGGAGATAAAAAGAGCAGAGATGAGGTAAAAGCAGACAGCATGAACTGAATATCAGCATGTCAGGACTGAGGAGAGGAAACGTACGGCTTTCCACCTGGAATTCCCGACAGGTTGGGAGGAAGGCCTGGGACACGAATGTGGTGGTGTGGATCAAATCCCACCTAAATGATTTCAGAGGATGACACCGTTTAACAACCGTTTAGTAACATATTTCTGTTGCTGCAACAAGAACAGAAATGGTGATGTAGCGTAAGAAAACAAAATCGAGCACAAACAGGTGTGAAGACGATAAAGAGCGGTAGCGGCAAGAATCGAGTCCCTCTGAGCTTCAGCTATCTCTAATTAATTAATTAAGATTTTTCAAAATAAGAGATGAAATAAGTTTTTTTTTGGTTTGCCTAAATCTTCTAGCCTTCTTCTTCTGCTACTTTTAGCATTTAGCTACACTTTTCTACATTTTACCTAATGTTCCCATTTTTTGTTACATTTTAGTTGTTACTTTTAGCTATTTTATATAATTATTATTTTTAACTAAAGGTTTGCTGCTTTTGACTTTAATTTCATATTTTCTTGCTGTTAGCTAGCTTTGAATAATTTTATCTGGCTTCTTGCTACTTTAAGCCAGACTTTGGCTACTTTAAGAAAGCCGTTTGTAACTTTTAGGTTTTAGCTAACTTGTGCTATATTTTTAGTTCAAGTTTTACAATATTTTATGTTTTGTTTATTTATATATTTATTGCTTTTAGTTAGCCTTTTTCAACTTTTAGTTTTTGGATATTGCTTCATTACTTTTAGCCTTGAACTAACATTTTGTTACTTTTAGCTATAGCATTTATTTTCTTTTACCTAGTTTTAGCTTTCTTTTAGCCAGAACAACTTAGTTTCAATTTTTTCAGAAAATTTCAGCAGTCATTAAGTCATTCATTTTTTTTCAGAAAATGCAAATCCTTTATTTAGCATTTATGATGTGAATTAACAACTATTGTGTATACACTATTTTAGAAAATTTGCATGAACTTATATGTTTAAACTATTTGCAACTAACTAAAGTAATCAAATGGGTTCTTGTGAATGGCTTAGGAAGACATTTTGCCCCCCCCCCCCCCCCACCCCACCCCCACCCCCATTATCAAGGTTTTTATTTCGTTACGACTGAACATTTTATAGCTCAAAATTGCAGTGGCGGCTCATGAGCAAAAATATTAGTGCGGTGGACATTCATTTCCTGAATCACTTAACACAAGTTTTACAAATTGCATTGCATTTTCTGTGAAAAACAGAACATATGTTGTTTAGTTTTTAAGTAATTATTGGGGCCGTTTCCTGTCTGTTTTTTTTTTTTTAATTTGTTCACAAACTTGTTGCCTTTTGTCCCCCTCTCGTGGGTCGAGGTTGTGTGTCTCATGAAAAGCAATCTGGTCTAATAAATTAGAGAAAATGACGCCTCCCACTCCCAGCCAACGGCTGCACAGCTTTCTGTACCAGATTTTTAATTTGATTTGAAGTAAGAATTCTGAAAAAAATAAAATCATCCAGATGAACAAAGTAAAATGGGAGAAAAAATTAATTGAAGTATATAAAAAGCAAAAAATATATATTTTTTAAAGAATTTATCATTACTGATACGATTAATTATTACATGCAGCAATCGAACCCAAAGACTTCTGACTACTAAACCAACGATTTAACCATGGACCTATCACAGCCACCCCACAGAACTGGTTAAATAAGATCTTACTATAGTATCAAATGTCTCTTTTGTTTGCCTCTTTACTCCTCAGTTTTCTGTACAGATCCCATTTGTCTGCTTTAAATGAGTTTATACAGAATATCTCCACTGTTGTACTCAGCAGGTTTCACTGCAGCTCTGAGCTCAATAAGGTCTAGGGTTAGTAGCAGTCATATCAAATCTGAATGTGTCCACAGGTCAGAAAATCTGATGTCCCAAATGAAACTATTGGATCTGGCTGTTCAGATCACTGGCAGCAAGTTCTGATCCACTTGACAAACACGGTTCAGTGAACAGTACTGCACCATAACAGTACACAAGTAAAATACTGAGATTAAATCCTTGAAAATAATTTCAAAATCCATTTCAAATTGTCAAAAAGGTAGAAAAATATACAGAAGAGCTTAGAGTTGATCAGGGGTTCAGGTACCACTTGCGTGCGTCCGTAGGCTGCCACGGCAGCAGCAGCTACTGCGCTCATCTGCGGGGAGATGTTATGCAGGCCAGTATATGCTGCTCCAGCTCCACCCAGCTCTCCGTTCATACCTGGGTGGGGAACCATTCCAAACGGACCCGGGTACGAGCACGGCAGTGCAAGAGGTGTGCGAAGGCCAGAAGCTAAAAGACCAAAATGCACACAAGTTAATATAAATTATACAAATACAAGTTAGATACAATACAAATATGAAACTAAGTTAGTGACATCATGGTAATTCATTTAGTAATTAATTATTAAACAACATTTCAACTCAGTTTTAAGCAATTCTTTCCTGTGAGCTGCTAAACAGAAACTGCTATTGTTATTTTCCAGTGTCCTCAACATAGGAAAATGTAGATGGTTTTGAAGCGATACACTTGAAATAAAAAATGCTTAATGCCATTAAAAAATGGGAAAACATGTATTTGTATGTGTCTTTGTGACTGTCTGTTAGCAAAACAACTCGTGAACTAATGGTAGGATTTTAATGGAACTCACAAGAATTAATTATTGGGTATATGACCAATTAACTTTTGGAGTCAGCCTCATTCAAAATGGCTGTCACAACTGATTTACCTTAGCAAACACAAAAAATAGTAATAACAGTCAAGCTAGTGTGATGCTAACTTAAAGTCATCCCTAGTACATGCTTTGCCAAAGTGGAGGGTATGTATTCCTTCAAAAAGTAATATAGTTTCATAAAGTTTTGCTTTAAACGCTCACCCAGCATCTCAGCTCCTGTAGGTTTGCTTGGTGTAGGTCTCAGGCCAGGGGTGGAGGTGCTGCTGGGCGTGGGGACCTCAGAGCGTGACGTTGGGGTACTTGATTTGGACACGGGAGTGGTGGATTTTTCATTCTGGATCTAAAAACACCCAAATAAACATATCAAATGAGCAGAGCAAAAACATTAAATCAGGCAGAAATTATTTATGTTTCGAGATCAATTTGTAAATTATGATTTTTGTACTTTTCTGAACGCCTGAAAGGAGAAAACAACCAAGACAAGAAGTGAAAAGGAGGATCAGAAGGCTTGAAATTACTCGTCTGGCTCACCAGATTAATCTCTTTGGATTTGGATGACGGTGTGCTGCTGGAGGAGGCGATGGAGGAAGGACTCAGGGGTGCGTCTTTCTTCAACAAACGACTTTTGTCCAATCCGTTTTCCCGTGGAGAGTGGGCAGGACTTCCTCGAGGGGATGCAGGATCCTGAGACGGGTGAGCACAGATGAGTCTGAGGAACCAAGATTCGTTTTTTCCAACCAGGTACGACAGAAAATGGGATTGTGGGAAACTTTTTCGTACCTCATTGGAAACATCCACGACCAAATTATCATCACTCTTCTCTCCATCACTCTCCTGAGATCGATGCAAAACAAAATCAAATCAAAATACTTTGGAAATAGAAAAATGTAACTTTCTGCAAAAAAAATGCTGAAATAGAAAGTGAGTTGTTAAAGCTAAAAGGAGCTAAACTATAAAAGTTAAAAGTAGCAGAATGATAGCTAAAAGTAGCAAGCATTCGGTCAAAATTTAAAAGTAGCTAAATACTAGCTAATATAGCAGAATGGTAGCTAAAATCCAAAAGCTGGGTAAGACCAAAAACAGAGCATGCTGCAATAGATCTCCAAAAGAACAATGTTTTTGTAAGAATTGACATCTCAATGTATTTCTACAGGGAAAATTTTTGTAAATAAAATATAATAAATATTTTGATGTATACAAAAGTGAATAAAAACCTAAAATTGTAGCAAATGTCTCCTGAATGAGCTGACATATTAATATGTGAATGACTAAAATAGCACAATTTGTTCAAATGTTTGATTGCGATGAACATAAAACCAATGAAAAAAATAATTGCAGTTTCAAAAATCTTTTAGTATCAATATTCATCTTTGAACAACGTGAAACTGGTGATGGATTTATACAGCTCAGATGTTCTGCTGATGCACCCCTGAAGCGCTCTGGTTACAGGAGAGCTAAATGATTTAGCTCACCTTTACCTCACTCGTTGCTTCCCAATAAATCTGTAGGATAGTACTCCTCCCTTCCTCGCAGAAGGTTTGTTTGAACATCTTTACTCACATAACGTGTGGAGGTCAGCTCCTTGTCATCCGTCTTCTGCTTCTTGCTGTCAGATGAAAAATCGCTTGAACTCCGGTGCTTTTCTCCGGTTCGAAAACTGGCAGTCGGAGACACAGATGAACTCTGTGAAATACATAAACACATAAACCCAGTCAGTTATAATCCACAGCAATTCGTACGCAGTCTGAGGGTTTGTTTAATTTCTTCAAATGTAACTTCAGGTGTTTTACGTTTGAATAAAAGACTGAAAACTGTCAAACTTCTTCAGTAAAGGCTGTTACGTGTGATCTCATGCAATGTTTCCAGATCCTGGACGATGTGTTAGCGCTCAAAGTATGTGTCGCTAATGACTCTCGGCTTCTACCAAACCAAACTTCAGCTGATGTAAGACTGATTGAGTTAGAGACAATTTTGTGTTTGCTAAGGATACTTAGTTGGTAGCCATCTGGACTTGGGTGACCAAAGCTCAATGAGTCGTTAATGTACATCATTTCTGAGTGTTGTTCAGAGGTTCGTGAGATATTTCAAAGAATTGGTGCAAAAAGTAGCACTTGGTGACATGTTAGAATTTTTGTAGTTCATATCTTAGATCTTACAACAGTTTTTTTTTAGTATTTTTTTAGAATTTATACTTTAAAGAGCCAGAGTTTCTTTATTTGTCATTCGCACATGTGGTACATGTGGTGGAGCAAAATTTTGTACACAGGGTCCCAGTTACGTCCAACAATAAAATGTAAACGAAAAACAGAAATAAGATCTAAGATATGAACTAAGAAAAGCATTAACTAAAAATATGCTAAGCACTAATAGCGTAAAAGCAATAAAAACAATACGCCGAACAGCAGCACGAACATGAGTCTCTGTGAGCAGATGAGCACGAATGAACACAGCAACATGAAAAAGATCAGCAGCAACATGAAACAGATCAGCAGCAACATGATGTAATTTTTTTCACAGTGATTATCCTGGTTAGATATTCATGAGTCTAACAGCCTCAGGGTAGAAGCTGTTCCTCAGTCTAGTGGTTCTACACTTAATGCTCCTCAACCTCCTTCCTGAGGGGAGCAAGACAAAAAGTGTGTGTGCTGGGTGAGTGAGGTCCTTCATGATACAGACGGCTCTCTTCCTGCATCTGGTGTAGATGTCTGTGATTTTGTTGGATGTAACTTGGACCCTGTGTACACAGTTTTGTTCCACCACATTTATCACATGTGATGAAAATGACAATAAAGAAACCTTATCTTTATCTTTATTCTTACCAATCCAGTTCTACGTCTGTAAAATTGTCTGTTACAGCCATTTTTGGATTGGTTACGATCAGTTGGATGTGGTGGCCATCTTGAATTGGGCTGGCTCCAAAAGACAATTAATAACAATAATAATAATAATGTGTTATGTGTTGTCATCACTGTATGTTCCCATACAATGGCAAAATTGGCTCTCTGCATTTAACTCATCCACCCCCCAGGTGGAGCAGTGGGCAGCTATTGAAAGTGCCCGGGGAGCAAATGAGGATAAGGTGTGCTGCTCAGAGACACCACGAGATGTGCAATGACTGGGGATCGATCTTGGGACTTTCGGGTCTTGAGTCATAAATGTACAGCCAACGAATAATTCATGAAGGTTTCATCAAAATCCAGCGGCTCATGAGATATTTTGCTAACAGATAGGTAGATTCAGATTGTTAATGGTTAAAAAAAACATTTTCCACACATTCAGTTAGCGCTTGAAGTATGTGCTGGAGATCAGTCTCGGATAATATCACCAAATTTTAGTAACAAATGGCTGCTCAAGTTAACAAGCTTCTGGTGGCCATTTTGAATGACACCAACTAAAATAATCAGTTATAGAAAAATGACAAATGATAAAGACATGGGAAAAACATAAGAAAACTGTAAGCATATTGTATCGTGCAGCTCTACAGCACAGCAGCATCTAGATTTTACAGTATAATTAATGCAGGAACAGATCAGCCTGAGCAAGTCCTCTGATATCTCTATCCTTTAAATATCATTACTGAGGAATTAATGGTCTTTGAGAAGCAAAGATCAAACTAAGGTCAGTTAAACATTTCCACTCTTGTCTCTGCTGATCTCCGCCTCTCATCGGGAGGCGCTGCTCGCCCGGCGTACACTGGGCAGAGCGAAGAAAAATAAATCCAGACCTTTAGCTCGACCTTTCCACTAACTCACGCCCGTGACCTTTCCACTGCCCTTTGCCGTGCTGCAAGTGTTGATGGCAAAGATTCTGTGTGTTGGGGAAGAGTCAGCTCTGGTGTGCGTGTGTGTGTCCTGTTTACATTTTAGAGCTCTGTATGCGCAAATAATCTTTAGATGTCAGTGTGCCTATAGAGGTGTCTCTCCTCAATGATAAGGAGCAAGTTGAGCCATCGCTCTCTGTCCCCTCATTCACCTATTAGATTAATTAGGCTGCAAATTAACTCGCTTAAAAAAAAAACCATCCATCCATCTTCTTTGCTCGCTTCTGCTTTCTGTGCCACAGGGAGCTGGCATCTATCTACAGCAGTCTACGAAGGAGGCAAACTGGCAACCTTCTCTCCAAGAGGCAACAGCTCTAACCACTTCACCACCATGCCATATGCTTAAAAATCATCATCGCTAATTAATTTAGCCACAGAGATAATTAAAGGCACCGCCAGCGGTACAAGAGTTGTGTTTGTGACAAACTCTTTGGTGTGGGCGAGTGAACGTATCCATTGTTATTGGCATCATAATTACATTTGCCTCCCATATCAAATTCTGCAGCTCCTGATAACAATATCTGTTGCTTCCCGCTTCTTTTTCCCCTTTTTGTTTCAGAATTAGCATGTTTATTGTTTTTCTCTCTAATATTCAGGTGAGGAAGTGTTGGCTGAAAAGGCTTCTGGTTTTAAAAATAATATTAGTGGTCACTGTCAATTCAATCCCCGCAAACATGATGATGCATGGTTTTGAGGGGAGGGGGACTTATATTATTTAACTGATAACAATGAACTTCATGTTCTAGTATTTATTTGTTTTAGCAAAATATATTAGTGTCACACATGTTACAGAGTGTAAGTTGAGAGTTTTAGTGTGCAACCATAAGATCCGCGTGCATAGACAACACACAAGCAACAATAAAACACCTGCATTGAAAAGGCTGTTCCAATAGAAACACTGCAGACCGTGAGAACATCATGAGTTATCCACATACGTCAACCCTTCACTCAAAGGACCAATAAAGTGTCTAATTATCACCTGCTGCTGAAAGGCGAAAGTGGACAGTAATGTTTTTTCCTGTGTCTGTCTGCATGTGCTATGTGTAGTGTATGTCATTGAAATATCTCAAGAAACAATGGGGATACTTCTATTGAAATTTGCAGTAAATTACTGGGTGTACATCTACAACTGATTAACTTTTGGGGTTAACCTGATTCAAGATGGCTGCCACAGTTGTACCATATAAAAAAAAAAAAATAGTTGTAGCTCGGCCAATTTTACTGATATTGTCTTAAAAATTGGTGTGGTTGTATCTGTGACTGATCCCAAACAGATATTCTGATCTAGAATGTGGAAGATTTGTGTAAAATGTTGCCATTAACTGTTTGTAGTCAACTCTGTCTGCATGGCAATAAATCTCATGAACCACTAAACAGATTTTAATGAAACTTTCCGAAAATAATCACTGGATATCCATATAACTGGTTAATTTACAGTCAGTCCAATTTAAGATTCCTGCCTCAGCTAATCAATACAAGTCAACATAAAAATGGCTACGACTTGGTCAGTTTTACAGATATTGAGCTACGTTTTGATGTAATAGTAGCTGAATGTCACCCCTAACGTACTTTGAATATGGCGTTTTGAGATACTGTACACCGTAGCATAACAAGATTTTCGAGGTTCTACAGAAATGGCCACCATGCTGTCATTTCTCAACATAAGATGATCGTGGTGTTAAACTCTTGCACAAAAAGTGCGGCGTGATACGGATTTCTTCATGGAATGCTACTCTCCAACAGACAGCTGATAAATTAGAGCATTAGCGCCACCTACTGGACTGGAGAATTAAACCACTGTGGATTTCTGTGACAGCTGGACCATAATATACTGTACATGGATACAATCATAGGTCATAACGCAGTGTCTCAGTAACTTTGCACAAGCATGAGCTACGCTTTAGTCAAAACTGCTATTAATTAAACAGAATCTGGGGTCATTTTCAAAATTACCTAAGGTCAAGGTTTCTTTATTGTCATTCTTATTACATGTGGCACATGTGATGGAACGAAATTGTATGCACTGTGTCCTAACAATAACAATGTACGTTTCAACTGTTATTCATTCTCCTCAACTTTTAGAAAAACTTCCTCTGAGTTTTCCCAGTTTAACATAGTCTCACCCTCAACATGACACATTAAAACATAACTTTGTCGCTCCTTAGTGTCGCACTGTGCGTTTCCACCATTCAAAAAGTTGCAGTGGCGTCAAAAGGACTTCATTAGATGTCTCTAATCAGCATGAAAGGCCAGGCTGCACACAGCAATCAGAGCTTTTAGAGGAGCATCTCAGCACAAAGACACTGACTGAAGGTGGAAAGGCTAAAAAAGCCAAGACAAAAATGACTAAAATAGAAAGAGAAGTCCACACTCATTGCACCCATCGCACACGCAGAACTATACTGATATCCATCAACCTGACAATATTTGTAAAATATAGTATAATCTTGAAGAGGCCCTGTTCAGATTTATCTACTTTTTCTGAGTATACACTGAATGATCTGATTCCACTGAATTTATTTTATTTAAGGTCATCAAAAAAATTTAATTTTTGTAAGAACTTTTAGTTATTTTACAGATAAAGATAATTTATCCTAAGATTTACTGAAAGTGCGGCAAGGTGGCTCAGTTGGTAGAGCTGTTGCTTCTCAGTGAGAAGGTTGCCGGACTCAATCCCTGGACTTTGCATGTTCTCTCCGTGCATGTGTGGGTTTTCTCCGGGTACTCCGGTTTCCTCCCACAGACCATAAACATGCATGTTAGGCTGATTGGTAACTCTAAATTGCCCCTAGGTGTGAGTGAGAGAGTGGATGTTTGTTTTTCTCATTTGTCTCCAAGTGTCCCTTTGATGGACTGGAGACCTGTCCAGGGTGTTCCCCGCCTCATGCACAGTGACTGCTGAATATAGGCACCAGTGACCCCCGCAACCTAGAAAGGAGGAAGCAGGTAAATATAATGGATGATGTACTGTACAGGAACACTACAAATACATTGGACAAATACTTAAAGTGTATCAGTGGGATTTACTGTACTGTACAACCAAACTAACTAAGATCTTTAGACTATTTCCAGCCAGTGCTGACAAAAGGTGCTGTCCTTGAACGCACCATGACTGCTTAATTGACTGCCTGTCGTGGCAACGGTGGGTCTGGAGACACACACCGACGTGCCGTTTGTACACACACACACTTTTATCTGCGTGTGTGGTGCTAATGCCAAGGACATTAAGGCACAGATGTTCCTGCAGTTCACACAAACTGTACTCTGTGGACTGTTGCCACGACAACTGAAAATCACTGACAGGCCGCTTATTGGTTTCATGGAGTGACTGTTGGCCGCCATGTCAGAGAGCATCGCTCAGTGTGTGTGTAGGTGTGTGTGTGTGTGTGTGTGAGGTTGGTTTCTCACATGGTGCTAATGAAAGGAATTCATCATTCTGGCCTCAATGTCCTTATCACTGATTTCTGATGACCCCACAAAAACACACAGGTACTAATTGCTCCAATCATGAAGCTCACAGCTTCTTAGTGTGTGTGTGTGTGTGTGTGTGTGTGTTGGGGGGTCATCAGAAATCAGTGATAAGGACATTGAGGCCAGAATGATGA